TGTTTTAATCTTCCGCTTTTATTTCTAAATATTGAGTTGCGGGTGTAAGGACTAAGTTCCTCTGTTGAACTGCCCCACTGTTGCATGTCTTTTATAGAGCAGGTGATGTATGCTATTTTGGTGACTGATGTGGCATATTTCTTTTGTACCATGTTTCAAATTTACTCTGATGAAATTTTATTATGTGATTTATTTTATTTGTTCATTTTGGGGTATAGAAGGGGGTGTTATATCGACCATAGCAGGTATATGCGTCGACGCATAGCCTATAGATTTGGGCAGTTTTGAAAGTGCAGTAGTGTGCGTCGATCATAGGTCGGCGTGCGCTGACCCGTGAGAGAAACAAAGCCTTCATGCGTCGACTCATGCCTTCATGCGTCGACGCGTGGCCTTCATACGCTGACCCATGAGAAAAGTGCAGATATATGCGCTGACTCAATGGTTGACTCATGTCCTGAAATTCTGCAAAAAATTGTTATTTATTTGGTTTTTATGCATTTAGACATAACCACATATCATTCGTATATATTGTATTAAGTAAAGCACTTTAAATGATATAGGAAGGATATGATGGATGGAATATTTGCATTTGTCTTTGTAGAGGCGGAACCGATAATGTCGATTCATCCATGGTTGCAATTTGTCATCATCGAAACTCAAGATCGTATGTTGTATGACGGTTTGCCCTCACATACTCCCCCTTTTTGATGATGACAACCTGTGTGAAACAAATGAGACCCAAATGCAATATTACACCTATGTTAGCATAAGCTCCCCCTTTCTCTTTCAATCCTGTACTGGTGTGGTCTTCTTGGCTTTGATCTCTTCTCCCCCTTTGATAACATCAAAAAGAGATAGAGAACGATTAAGAGTAAAGTGTTCAAATCAACATAAAAATTAACAGGTAATATCTAATCATAAGCCAATATTCACACATAATATTGACAATGAAAACAGTAACGCAATGAATACTCATAGTATGACTGGATGAAAGAAAATGCATTATAGAAAACCCAAATAGTTCATGACAAGACAAACAACTTAAAAGCAAAACATCATAACAACAAAATAACATAAATTTGAACACAGAAATCTAATGCCCACGGGCACACCCTCTTCCCCTTTCATAGTAATGTGGATGACGGTACGGATCTGCCAAGTCAGTGAATTCCACAGTAATGCTGTTCAAGTAGTTCAAACTGTTGGTAATGTCCTTTTCCTGAATTCCTTATCTGAAGAGATGGATGTGTATGGAAATGTTGGATAGACAACATTGGCATCTGTGAGAACTTCCTGAATGAATGACCCATATGCTCGAGCAGTTCCTCTTGCGGAGTCTCGTAACGCGAACATTCGACTAGAGATGTAGTAGGGCTAGTTAATTTTGATATGATTTTTCAGGATGTAGATGAGATGGACTTCAGCCTGTTCTACTCTTGAGAGTCCTCCTTTCTTTGGCCGCAGAATGTGTGCCACAATCCACTGAAGAATTTGCTCACCTGTTTGTAATTGCCCTGCAATGACGGTTCTCAGAAATGCATCACTATTCACAATATGCTTTGGATATGGCCGTTTTAACATCAAATTTAAAGCCTTTTTGAATTCATATCCAACCACAGTTTGAGAATCAGTTACCTCAGGAAGAGGATTTTCACCAGCAGCTAGTTGCATGTTGAAGTATTTACTCCACACAGGAGAGTTTAGATTTACCTTTGTGGAGCCTACCTGAGAATGAAATAACTGACCGTCGAACCTGCCATGGATGTCGGTGTAAAAGACACGCACCAAGTCTTCACTGTACTTGGTGTTGCATTCCAAGAAGTTGGTAATTCCTTGAAACTGTAGCAGCGATAAGATTTCGGAAAGATGAATGTGTTCCGCAGTGATCTTGTAAAATGCATGCTGCTTAACTACCCCTCTTTTTCGATGTCTGTGTTGAATTTCTCAGCAATAGTTGGAGGAACTAGGGATGCAGCAGTGACTGGTATGGAAGCTGATGATGAAGGTGCTCTTGATTGCTTGCCGGTGATTCTGCGGGAAGAGGAAGCCATTGATAGTGGTTGGAGAGAATTTGAGAATGTAAAGAGAATGCGTGTGATTGCTGAGATGGTTATGAGTGTGATTGCAGAGAGGGAGGAATGCCCCTTTTATAGATGAAACTTTTAGGGTTTTTATTTTTAAGAAGAGGGAAGGTCAGGAGACAATAGGCATGGTAGGTTGAATTCACTAAGAATTTGAATAAATGTGTATACCATGCTGATAAAGTGTATTTAATGCGCAGGAAGTTGGAATGATTTACAGAAAATCTGGGTTTTCGCGCGATGCGTCGACCATGCCTCTACATGCATCGACGCATACTGATTGAAGTTTGGCAGATTCAAACGTCTATAAGTGTGCGTCGACCAGTCCCCTGTTATGGTCGACTCATACAGGCAGAAAATACAAATTTTCATATTTATGCATATATGAGTATACATTTGATGCATAAATAGAATGTCACACCATAATAAGCAACCAAACAAATATAACACATGAGAAATGTCATATATACATAGTATTTGTCAGACAATATCACTTTTTGAGAATGAAATGTGTAGAGAGAGAGAGAGAAAGAAACAATATCACCTCTATACCAAGTTTGCTTGAAGAATTATACAATTTTGCTTGCAATAATTTCAACGAGTTAGATGTTCAAAAGCATAATTGTAACGAAAATAAGATGAATCATACAATTATGACACCCGATCCGAAATATCAAGAATGCCTAGTTCTCGATGGATATGAAAGAAAGGTTCCGTAGCTAGCGGCTTTGTGAAAATATCCGCTAGCTGATCTTTAGTGTTCACATGTTCAAAAATAACATCACCTTTCTCTACATGATCCCTAAGAAAGTGATGGCGAATCTCAATATGTTTGGTGCGAGAATGTAACACAGGATTTTTGGTGAGATTAATGGCACTAGTGTTATCACAAAAGATGGGAATACATTCTAGTTTTAGGTTAAAGTCCAATAGTTGTTGCTTAAGCCATAGGACTTGAGCGCAATAACTACCGACAACAACGTATTCCGCTTCGGCGGTTGACAAGGCAACTGATACTTATTTCTTGCTATGCCAACTGACCAAGGAGTTTGAATACAGATGACATGTACCACTAGTGCTTTTCCTATCCGATTTGCAATCAGCAAAATCGGAATCAGAGAAACCTACCAATGAGCAATCATTACCTTTGGAATACCATAGTCCATACTTCAGAGTACCAGATAGGTATCGAAGTATTTGTTTGACAACTTTTAGATGGGATTCCTTGGGACATGATTGGTATCTTGCGCACATACACACACTAAACATAATGTCGGGTCTAGAAGCAGTAAGATAAAGAAGTGAACCAATCATACCTCTATACCTTTTTACCTCTACATCTTTACCATTTTCATCTTTATTCAAGTTTGCGCATGTAGGCATATGTGTGTCTATGACTTTGGAGTTTGCCATGTCAAATCTCTTGAGCAGTTCCAAACAATACTTAGTTTGACTCACGAAAGTTCCTTCCTCAAGTTGTTTAATTTGCAATCTGAGAAAGTATGCGAGCTCCCCCATCATACTCATCTCGAACTCACCCTGCATAAGGTCAGAAAACTCTCTCACAAGATTCATGTTAGTTGACCCAAAAATGATATCATCCACATAAATATGTACCAATCTCAAGTGCTTTCCTTTACGCTTAATGAATAGAGTGGTGTCCACTTTGCCTCTCGAATACGCTTGATCAAGCAAGAACTTGCTCAGACGCTCATAGCAAGCTCTAGGAGCTTGTTTGAGTCCATACAAGGCTCTTTTTAGTTTGTAAACATGATCGAGATATTCGTGCGACTCAAAACCCGGTGGTTGAGCAACATACACTTCTTCATTAATGAACCCGTTAAGGAATGCACTCTTAACATCCATTTGGAATAGCTTAAAGTTTTTCGCACACGTGAAGGCAAGCAAAAGGCGTATAGCCTCGAGTCGGATATATGCGCTGACTCAATGGTCGACTCATGGCCTGAAATTCTGCAAAAAAAATTGTTATTTATTTGATTTTTATGCATTTAGACATAACCATATATCATTCGTATATATTGTATTAAGTAAAGCACTTTAAATGATATAAGAAGGATATGGTGGATGGAATATTTGCATTTGTCTTTGTAGAGGCGGAACCGATAATGCCGATTCATCCATGGTTGCAATTTGTCATCATCGAAACTCAAGATCGTATGTTGTATGACGGTTTGCCGTCACAGTGATTTGGTGCTGAAACACTACAAGAAAAAAATAGATTTACAACACTTGAGTTGCAACAGTTATCACAAAACCGTCTTTATTTCTGGACTGCGACGGTTGTCACGATAGTTAGGGTCAATTGTCGTAGATTTTTTGCGACAGTTATAAAAAAACCGTCCTTATTCCTAGACTACGACAATTCTCACGACGGTTTGAGCCAACCATCGCAAAGTTTTTAGACATGTTGTATAAAATAATGCGACAGTTAATAAAGAACCGCCGTCTTTTCACACTCGCGACAGTTAAGGTGAACTGTCGCAATTACTTTAGCCAATCATAATCACTATTTTTTTATTCCTTTAATTTTCCACTTTTTTATTTATTTATATTTTCTAACCTTTTCAATTTTATTAATTAATTTAATAAACAATTATTATAATTATTATAATTTTTATGACAATATAGCTTAATATTTTTGTCTAAAATAATAATAGAATATTTTCTATTTTATTATATAAATAGTTAACTTTTATTAAAACTAATTTTGATAATAATATTAATATATATATATATATATATATATATATATATATATATATTTTTTTTTTTTTTTTTTTAACATTTCAAACTCATACGCTCAAGAAATCCAATTTCTTTCTTTCGCTGGTCCTCCACCGTCTTTCATTTTCCGTTCGCACCCTCACTTCTCCATGCACCGTTCGCACCCTCTTTGTTATGATAAATAAGGTTAGATTCTTGCTCGTAGTCTCTTCCTTATAGAAATTTATAGTTTTTCTCAGTGATTGTAAAACCAGAACTACAACTTTCAATTCTTCTTCTACTACTTCTTCCGGAAGTGGAAGTAGTAATAACATGTCCTCCTCCACTAACAGTAGCAATTTCTTCTCATATGATTATTCAATCGGCGGTCAGATCTTACCTACTTCTAATTTGAGAGTCCACACTTTTGCCGAATTGAAAGCTTCTACCAAGAATTTCAGACCTGACATACTTCTTGGAGAAGGAGGTTTCGGGAAAGTCTATAGAGGATGGCTTGGCGGAATCACCTTTGCCGTCAAAAAATTGAACTCCGAGGTTACCAAGGTCTCCAGGAATGGCAGGTAACCTTTTCTTTTATAAAAATAAGTGGGATGTATGTTAATGTCTCTAACCTAGTTTAAGTTAGATTAATTATTTAATTATTCACTTCTAATGGCTGGTTTATGGTTTTTGCAGTCAGAAATACATTTTCTAGGTCGACTTTACCATCCTAACCTTGTGAAACTGTTGGGATACTGTTATGAGGACACAAAGCTTCTTCTTGTTTATGAATACATGCAGAACTACTTGTAGTTGTAGTTCTGGTTGTAGTTGTAGTCATTACTCGATTGATCCCACTAAGTATTTGTAGTCTGATTGATCTATTTTATTGACATTTTCATGGTTTTTGTCATCTAATTCTTACTCTTGTATGTTTTGGTTTCTTCATAAAAGGAAAAGGAAGAACATGGAGAATTTTTTATTTATCTGATCTGATTTTAACTGTAACACCATGAAGCTGCGAAAGTCGTCTTTGAATCCATTTGCAGTATGTTCTTGTCTCTAAAAGGAATCCTACTTCTAGATTTTATGCAACGGAAGATGAGAATAATACTTGTCAAGACTATGATGGGACTGTGTGGTTTTAGGCTCCTCGGTATACCGCAAATAATGTCCAACTTTTCAAGAAAACCCCCCAAAGACTTTCTCCGGGGAAAAGCTATCCTGCTTCTATTTCTTACTTTTCATCACCAAAGAATGTGGCACCACTAGCTGATAATAATTTTATGGATGAAGAATTTGATATAGATTTAGAATATCTTAGCATGACTTATCATGGGATATCTGATGAGTTGCTTGTAGACGTCTACAACATAAACGGTGCGGACCTGGATGCTGCTGTTGACATGTTCAGCCAACTTGAGGTATAATCTTAAAATTGTTAGCTTTGGGGATTTAACTATGTTGTTCATTCAACGGCTTTCTCGTTCAATTTCCTTGTTAATTCATGCATTATAGAATAGATTGGGTCTATTGGAAAATTAGATTTTGCAGAATTTCCTTGTCAATTCATGCATCGTAGATAGATACCCAAAGACAAAATTAATAGACTTTCATTCACGGATATCTTCAAGTTTTAACATTATCACTCATTCCTTATTATATCTGTTGTTCTGTTTTGTATGATTCTAGATCGGATAGAGAGTTTCTGTATCAAATTCTTGGAGAAGTTATTAAGGCAGGGGATACTACATCCAACATACCTGACACTGTTGGAATAACCACATGACAAGTGAATTTATATAAGTTATTCAATAAATTTGAAAATCGAATCTTTATATAATAATGATCGGAAGATGTATTATTCTTCTTGTGAAGAGGAATCTTTTAAATTTGCTAGTTTGTTGGACTTCCACACCTAGTTATTCCCTGTGTTTCTGTTCTTTTGAGCCTAACAGGTTGAAAAGCATAAGATTTTACAAGCTAATGCCAAAACCGTGGGTTTAGAAAATGGAGGGCATGGAGCTATTGAGGCTGGAAGTAACTGTATCCCATTTGCCAATACCAACAATCATGCAGCTGTAGTTGATAAGAAAACCATTGAAAGTCAAGCTAAAGTTTTTACAAGGAAATCAAATGAAGCCAAGACAGTTTCACCAAACTTGAACCTCACTAACATGGTAAATGCAACAGACAAAGTGAAACTGCTAGACATGGGAAATAAGAAAAAACCATCAAGGACTTCCTCAAGTTTCTTCGACAGGTGATTCTTCCTCAATAATTTGTACACTATTTCTTATTTCAACCATTATCATAACTCAGTAGTTAGAACTTCTAAAATTGAAAATTAATTCCTGAATTCATTTCTGTTAAACATAAACCATGTCTTGTATAATGCACATCTTTTCAATTTAGGAACATGTTTTGATTGTATTTTGAAATTAAACCTTAGAGATTACAAATCACGGGCTTTCCTCAATTGGTCATTAATAAATATGTATGGCCAGTATGAGGCATTTTATCGCCTTCATGTTTGGCATGGTATTACTTTATTTCTCTGTAGGCATTCCCAGCATATCCTAATCCCCCTTTGTTCCATATTGTTACAATGACTAATATTGATTTTCTCTAATTACTATCAGAGGTTTAATCAAATGCCTACTGGGCATCTGTCATGACTTCAAGATTCATTGGGGGTGGGTAGGAGTAGGAGCAGGTTTACTATACAGGGGCTGTGATTTTCTGCTGTAGCAGTCATGAGTATGGGATGCAAATGTTTGCGGCTACCCGAAAATGTGATGCTACTAAGCACCCTAGTGATGCAATGTATAGCCGAAAATGTGATGCTACTAAGCACCCTAGTGATGGCTATGAAAGAAATTTAAATGGATCAAGGTATCATCACTTCAAATGACAATACACCCAATTGATGTCAAACTTTATTTACAATTTACAATTTTCTTTTGTGGACAGTAATCATTGTGTATATCTTACTATTTTAAAATCGTTGTGTATATCTTTAATGCTATATCATTATTGACACTGATAGATTTAAAATTGAACTCAAAGTGTTCAAACAGGTGAATGCTAGGAATACTCTCTGTTTTACGTGCTCTTGAACACATTCTTTATGATTCTTCATTCTTTAAAAAGTCAATTCATTTGTCAAAAAGAGTATGTTGCTAGTATTCTTTTTTTCACATTCCATCTTATCTTGTATTGCCTTCTATTGCTTTTCTCATGTTTCTATGTTTATCTCTTCTCTTGGCTATTGACACTTGTTCAACATTGTTCACTGTGATTGTATGATCTTTATCATGATCATTTGTTATAATGTAGTTGGAATGAATCAGAGAGATTGTGTCATGGTTATCTATGCTGACAATGTCATAATTTATTTCCTCTTGAATTTCGTTAGAGTGTTTTCTAATATGTTGGGGATTTTGGCTTTGCATAACTCTTTTCATGAAGCACTTTCAATAGCTTGAGAATTTGAAACCGTCATTCTAAGAAATTGTTGTTGCTGATCTTAAATATGGCAGTTAATGATGTGAAATAAATCGTTATATTTTTCTTTAAATTTATAAGACAGACAAACGTGTATTTGTGTTTTGGTTGAACTATGGTTTTGAAATATTATGTCCAGTTTATTCTATGTGTTATATTTGTTGACTTTTCAACTATAATATGGGAAAATCTTCTGATTATTTATTTAATTATCATTTTCTTTTAATTGAGATAGTTCTACAAACACATCCTTTGCACAACCGTCTGGTATTTCACTGTCTCAAGGTAACACATAGTGATTATTCTCTTGAACCTTTATTTAAATCAACATCCATTCATACTTATAAATGTTTTACATGATTTTGCATAAGGTCTAATGGAGATATACGTAGCTGATAGTGAGAGTAGTTCAATTCGAGTTGTTGATCTGAAAATTGGAGGATCTCGTTTGCTAGCTGGTGGTGATCCTATGTTTTCGGGCAACTTGTTTAAGGTAGTTTTAAAACAATTTGAGTAGCCATTGTATGATTCTTTTTTGCTTCATCCCGATGTACTAATTTTCTTCTATGATTAAATTTCTATATCACAATTGGGTTGATTTCATATCTCAATTGGCATCATTTAGTCTTGTTATGCATTAGGTTCAAAATAAATCCCTCGTGATGGTTTGAGTTTTCATTGGTCTACATCTACTTTTCACTATTTATTATGGATAGGCCTACCTCTAACTATTGGCCATCCTCTATTTTGTCAGCCCTCCTTATTGGTGCTTTTATAGGTCTTATCCATACACGCCACAACCACATAAGAGGGGATTCAATCATCTTTTTCACAATGGGGGTTACCATAGTTTTCTCGCTAATAATCTATTTTATCTTGTGTCATATATTTATACCTTTCTCTTCCCTTTTCCCGATAACCTTCCTCTATGTTCTCAAACTTTTCCAGTTTGGTGATCAAGATGGAATAGGCTCTGAAGTACTTCTTCAACATCCACTGGGGGTTGTGAGTGGAAAGGATGGTGTAATCTATCTCACGGATAGCTACAATCACAAGGTAGACAATTCAGACCAAGTTACCTTTGAAATCAATATAGCCTCTGGATATATATCAGATACTGTAGTTACCCTTTTCTATGAAATCTTACAGAGGTATCTAGTTCTTTTCCCATTTACCTGGTTAGGACTTGTACAAATATTTTTTTTCCGGAGTTGGATTTTGTCTTCAAACTTGTCTAATGAATGTTTGAGAGCATGCATGACATACCAACTTAGAAACTAACAAGTTAATTGGACAAGAACTGAGTACTTGCAGTAACTAACTTTCCTAGTCTTTTTCTCATTTTTTAATAATATATTTCAGATCAAAAAGTTAGATCCGACCAGTTAAAGAGTTAGCACTGTTGCAGGAACAGGGAAAGCTGGTTTCAAGGATGGAATTGCCGTAACAGCTCAGGTTGGTAGGCTATTTTGTGCCCCTATTTACCAAAATCCTCCCCAGGTGTAGACATAGGAATTTAAGTTTGTATACTATTTTGAAATGTTGAATCATCTATTTAAGAGACTCTGTTGTTGATTCCTTTTCACTTTCACATTATTACATGTAAATGTGGAACTATTATTAATTTTGAAGCTACAATGTTGTAGATGTATTAAAATAGAACGTTGAAGAAAGCTTTCACACATTTGCAAACTTTTGTTATTATCTCACACATTTGCAGAGATATTATATATGCTCTTAATTGAAATACTTGTGCAAATTAATATCAACAGAACCAAGGAAAAAACTCTTGCTTACCTCATAGCCACGAATAAGTGTTAACCTATTTATCAATGTTTTTGCAGCTCTCTGAACCATCAGGAATTGTTGAAGCGAGCAACGGTAATGCTCTTTCTACTGCAATCTTTCATTTTTTTTGTAAATGTTTACATACATTAATCTTAATGAATCTAAGAGAAGATCACACACATACTATACTTGTGCCCGCCCGCCTGCCCGCACATCTATTGACTGTTGATACATATATACACGCACATATGCCAGCATGCATATTATAGACAGTCAAATCGACACAAGTAGGTGTGTCTGTAAGAAGCATATCAAATAAAAGCACCATATTATTATGACTTTTCTTTTACAGTTCATATTATTATGGTGCTACTTTTAATTTATAGGAGAATATCCTATATTATAATATAAGAAAATATCTTATAATATCTTTGATATTGGATTTTATTTCCTAGGATCAGTTTATAATCTTAGATTATTTAGTATTTCCGGAGTTAGATTTTGTCTTCAAACTTGTCTAATGAATGTTTGAGAGCATGCATGACATACCAACTTAGAAACTAACAAGTTAATTGGATAAGAACTGAGATCTTCCATATGCAAATGGATACATCTCACAGTGGGACCAATTCACAGCTCAAGTTCAAGAAATTTCTTTGACAGTTCCATATATGATAGTAAGGTTTGTTTGTGCTTGCAATCATTTTATGACATTGACATTTGAATTGAGTTATACATATTCTTTTAGACTGAAAGGGTATCACATTTATTCATATTGCAGTGGAAATCATGAACGTGATTGGCTTAATTAGTAATCTATATGTATCTTCATTTCATCACCTCACTTTTTTTCAGTGTTAACTTTTATGCACAGTAAATAGTTGCTTCTGCTTCTTTTGCTGACATTTCTGCTTTAATTGGGTTGCAGGGTTCCAACTTTGGATGGAACGGTTCTACATTCTGAATTCCATGTTAGTTTGGTTACTCATGGTGCCTTGAATGTTGAGTGGAGTCTTCACCTCTTTTCAGATACAATTCACCTCTTGCACAAATCATTCTCATTGGGTTAGTTTGTTTTTGTTGTCCAGGAATGTTCAACGCTCTCTCTGGAATGGGTGGTGGTGGTCAGGTCAACGCTACAGCTCTCTTTCTCGCCGTTCAATTTCAACTCACCGAAACGTGTTTACCGAAGGGAATAACTTCCCGTCCGCCAAATCTATGTATGGAAGAAGCGCGTCAAGAAGCAGAAGCAGTAATGTTCGGAGAATTAGACACGCTTTTTGCTAAAACAGGAGTTAATTCAAGAGATATTGATATTCTTGTGGTGAATTGTAGCTTGTTCAATCCAACACCTTCCCTTTCTGCTACGACTGTGAATCATTACAAGCTGAGAACAGACATAAAAAGCTATAATCTCGGCATAATGGGTTGTAGTGCAGGTCTTATTTCAATTGATCTAGCGAAAGACTTCTAAAAGCGAATCCAAATTCGTATGCAGTGGTTTTAAGCACGGATAATTTAACTTTGAATTGGTATTTTGGAAACGACCGATCAATGCTTCTTTCGAATTGCATTTTTCGAATGGGTGGTGCTGCTATACTGTTATCGAATAAACCATCGGATTTTTGTGTCATTGCTTAGAAGAAAAGTGTTGAAAGGTTCACGTGTGAAGCCTTATATACTAGATTTCAAGCTTGCTTTTGAACATTTCTGTATTCATGCTGGTGGAAGAGCTGTTCTTGATGAGATACAGAAGAATCTGCAACTGAGTGAGTGGCATATGGAGCCGTCGCGGATGACTCTGCATCGATTCGGAAACACTTCCCGTAGTTCTCTCTGGTATGAGCTGGCTTATGCAGAGGCTAAGGGTCAGGTCGCGAAAGGCGATCGGGTCTGGCAGATTGCGTTCAGGTCGGGTTTTAAAGTAACAGTGCAGTCTGGAAGGTCGAGTAATTTTTGCTGTTCTTGGAAGTGCTATTTGGGGTGGTGCAGTGGCTAATCAGATAAAACATAGACATGGTGAGATCTTAGTTTTTAAGGAGTCTGGTTCTGATTTTGCTGTTCCTTTTGTTTTGTACTTTAGTAACTTGATTGTGTCATTTTTAGTAATGTAACTTTAGAAGTATTTGTTATTGACTTTATAATAATGTTTGGTTACTTTAAAAATTTGAATGTGATTAGTGTTGCATTGTCTTATTCAAATTAGATTTTAATTTTATATTATTGTTACTTTGATATTTAACAATAACTATAATATTTTAAATATGAATTAAACACAATTAATAATAAAAATTAAACACCTAAGAGAGAAATTATTTGCAAATTTACCTGCGAATTTACAATTTGCTGCGACTTTTTCTGCGAAACTTTTAATTACCTGCGGCATTTTCTACGACAGTTTTAAACCGTCACAATCAACAATGGTAACAAAAATCAAAAGTATATTCACGATAGTA